TAAACCCAACGATAATAATAACGACTATTGCAACATTTTGACCTCATTTTTCCAAAGCACCTTCCTTTTATTACCGATACAAATACAACAACAAACTTACTTGGAAAAACAAGCAAAAACACACCCACTGGTAATACTTATACACTTTCTTCTCTTTTTCGTCGTGCGTAGTCCTTACACCGGGCAAGTTCAATTTAGCCAGTTCTTGCTTGTTGACGGCCACCGTGAACGTGGAGTGTATCCAGCAGAACGTGTTGAACACATCTTCCGGTATGTCTTTGGTGTGGATGCAATCGATGGGGTTCCCCACGTACTGCCTGGTGGTCACTATGAGGCTGAAGGCTATCAGCAGGGACGAGGTGATGGAGTAATGCAGCCTGAAAACCGGCGAGTCGATGTGGATGTGGCTGACCCGCACTAGAGTCTTGAGCCCCCTAAAAATATCCAGCATGATGTGCGCGGGGCTGTCTATGACTTGATCATCTTTTGGTTATCTTTTGCTCGAGGCTCTGTTCTTCGCTTTGCTGGTGGACGAGACCATTTTTTTGGAGAGGGTCACATTTGGTGAAGTCTTTACCATTGCGATTGGAGGCCTGCAAAATTATTGCTTATATTTAATCTATTTTTTGAGATCTTTATTGAAACTCTTCGATATTTCAAGCTAGTGTTCTCTATACTGTCACAGGGACACTCTGGGGTATAGAGGTACTTAAACTATACACTAATTCCAAAATAGTAGGCACTAAATTCTCAGAAATGATTGAGATAATGGGTCTCTCCCAGTGGCGTACGGAAAATATCGTAGGCTACAAGTGTGTTTGACGGGAAAATCAGCAGGAGACTAATAATTAGAAGAGCAAGGATTATGTAATAAATAAAAAAAGCGACAAAATTTCCGAGAATTTAGTGCCTACTATTTTGGAAATAGACTATAAAACAAGTTGGATGAAGTTAGAGTGGGTCAAATTCAATTTTTATAATAGGCAAAATAATTAAAGGATACTTTACAATTTTTTGAAGTTAAGCACCCAATTGGATTGATTTATTTGATAAAAGAATTGCTTTGATTGGGAAAACTCGGACAAATGAATCTTATTGAGGCATACATACACATAGTTGAGCTAAGTGAATATGGTAGCAATAAACTTATGGATATTTAACTCGATTTCCAAGAAACGTTAGTACTAAATGCCTTCTGGCAGCGAACAGACGATTCGGACATTTGGCTTGGAAATAATTTTCCCCGAATCGAGGGAATTTATGGTGGGTTTTATTTAAAAACTGCATCCGCTGTTTTATTAGCTACCTACGATCATTTTTTTTGACTCATAAATTGACTCACTTTTTTTCACGTATATTTAAATATAGGTCAGATTTTCAGATTGTATACAGAACAGCGGCGAATTAGAAACATCCGCTTTTCTCGTCGGGCAATCGGCACCTGAACTTTTTTAAATAAATGTCGAAAAATGCGGCGGGCCTACTTTCATCGAATTGTTTTTTTATACAAAAAATAACCGCGAATCGGTTACATTCAATAGAGTAGAGACAAATTTCGGTAATATTAAATAAATATTAAAGAGAATTGATTTATTATAAACGAAGAATTGAAGCAAAGAACTAAAGAAATGTTCTACTTAGAGATTTATACAATATTTTAATTATTAGAGATATTTTTCCTTCTATTTTTGTCCTAGTAGTTTAATAATTCAAATAGTTGATATGTATGTATATTTCAAATCAATATACAGTTTGAAGTATCAAAAGTTTCAGTTCAAAAGATCAAGAGTTTTTCAAAAATGACTGATTTTTAAAAATGATTGATTTTACAAAATTGACTGATTTTTGAATTAATCACGGGGAAAAATTAAAAATTTACTAAAATCCCAAGAAAAACCATATTAAGCCAGTCCAAGAATCAATGAAAAACTATTTAGTATAATAAATCGTATATGAACCATATAAAAATCATAAAACCATAAATAAATTTAAAACCATCAGAAAATCATGGAAATTTCTAATAAAAGTATGGTGTATTATGTAGGTACTAACCTTAAAATAGTGGAGAAAATTTGCATAAAATTAACTAACACACATCAGAGTAACACATTACTATAAAATGTATTAATGCAAGTAGGTACTTATAGATAAATATATGTAGGTATATAAATTTAGGTACTTACTGAATTTCCCCAGGCCCGTCGAATTCCTTTAAGCACAAACCTATAGTACGTATTACACTGGTAAAAGAACTTACGAACACATTATCACGAATTATTTTTCGCGGGGCGCACCGCGTCGAGGCGTCGGAACGTTGAGCTGTAGCGTCGGCGTCGGGACGGAGTTATTTCGAAACTGAAACGTCCATTGCATGTGCCGATACACATTTACACGTTTATAAACGAATCTGACAAAGTTTAAGTTTGGCAGAGTTAAAAATACGAATATTTTATACTCCTCGATTCGATGTTGTTAATGTTTAGTCAATGGCACTCATTAATAATCTGGATTTCCTCGGTTTTCCTCAAGTTTGTCGACGTGGGCATTAGGGAAATGGGGAACTTTCAAACAATCGGTCGAGAAGGGATTAGCGGTGGTTTAACGGGTGGAAATGATTGTTGATTTTTGAGAAATAGTAAAATTATGGCGACTAGAATGTGGACAATCAAAATACATAAAATTTTTACGACTTTGAAAAAATTCGAAAGATTTTAGGGAATTTTTCATGGTTTTATCTGGTGTTAAAATAATATTTGAAAACTTTGGGAACTCAATTTTAATCTCGAAAGTGGTGAATATAAATCTGCGCAGTATATGTATATGTTGCATTTAAATATGTTATTAATATGCAGTAAAATCAAAACAGAATTTTTATGGGACCTATAAAACAATAACATTTATGCTCATATAAACTTCTCTGTATTGATACCCTTTAAAAGGAGTGCAATTCATATAATTGTCAATTAGGTATTATTTATACCAATTTTTTTAAACAAACTGGTCTTCCCACCGAAACTATATTACGTGCTGGATTTTTATTACTTATTATCCACTTTTCCTGTCTACTTAATCTTCTTTTACATGTCCTTATTTTATATCATATCATTTAATTCAATTTTTCCGCTCTTTGCTCTACTAAAACACAATTTACACTAAAACACAAGATAATTAGCAAGGATTTAGAGCGTGTTTTTCTTGTATTTTCCGCTTCCGCCGTTGGGATTTCTTGCTCCCCGATATACGGAATCCCCTCAGCACGATGAGAATATATTTTCGGCCATCGTATGCCATTAATATTTAGGATTGCACACGCACGCACGGCGCGGCAACTCAAGCCAATCCATACGCTCAACATCTTCTATTTTGCACCAAAATATTTACAAAACGCCGTTCCAAATGTCTCACCTATTTCGAATTTTCGCCCGGGATTCACCACGTACGAGAGTTTGCGAAAGACGTAAACTTTCAACGATAGTGTTATCATGGAAATTGGATCAGGTTGCGTTAGAATTATGAGTGTTTACCGGAACCTGCTTTTAATTAGAATTGTATATTTTTCTCATGGCTATTATTAAAGAAAATGAGTGTTAAGTTGTGCGTAAGCTGAGCTGGTTTTTTTGCCTGGAAGGTGATTTCTATGTTGAATGATGCTGGAAATGTGTATATTGTGCGAGTAGGTCACCTGCAAGCCTATTTACTGATTCGGGAAACGATACCACTGCACTATGATGGATATTGCGGTTGGATTTAGAACATTTCGTTGAGTATTTGGTTTGATGTGGTACAAAAAGTATCATAAACTCAAAGCTTCCAAAATAAATCAGAAGGTGATTGATTTTGGTTTAGAAATCTTTGCTATAACCATCAATTTAATCGAATTATTTGATTGTATTATCGAAAAAAAACGGTGAATTTTACTAGGAAAGCGAGAACATAACAATAGATTAATAGCAAGTCATGTTTCTTATTTGATTGAATTGTACCTGGTGGCCCTCAAAAAATATTTTTCAATTTTATAGACATCCGGTATATACATTATTTATTTGTGATTGTAGGCAAGGTAACGTTTCTATTATTTATTATTTGTACTATTTCATCTATTAAAATGTGTTTTCTTCTACATTAAAAATAATTTGTTTTAATAATACTTATAAAAATAAGTAAGAATGCTGTTATTGTTACAATAGTCTAAGAATACTGAAGCTTCAAGGTTTGCTCGTAGCAAAATTTATTTGTAAAACTATTACTCTTGGAAGAAAAAACATCTCGCACATTATTGGTGCAGTTGCTAAATAAACTCGTTAATTTAATCTTTAAAAATGTAGGCATCAACCTTATTTATTTGCCGATGGTTAATTTATATTGTTTCGCAGAAACCTGCTGTGTTTTATTTCCTTTATACCTGCTTTTTTAATAACACAACTAATTTCCCTTTCAATCGCCTCGATTTTCCCATTCAATTACCCAACATTCTTATGTAAAATTTCCTTTGGATTTCCGACCAATTATTTCTTAAATACTCTCTGAACGAGAGTGCACCGTAAAACTGTCATTTTCTTTTAGACTAAATTTATGGCTTAAGGACGCAACTTAGGTTAAAAATAAAAATGGTAACTGGTGTAACTGCACAACGAAAACAATGGTTGGAACGAATCTGCCTTTGTTATTATTACAAAGAATCTAATACGACTACAGAATGTCTTCCAATATGTTGTGAGAAAAAGTGGACATCCTGTATGTCGCCTAACACTTAAAAGTTGCGGTCATATGAACTTAAATAATCAAGTATTCGAGTGTGATTTGTTAACGTTTCGAAATTTTAAACAAAAGTTCGCGTTGATTTGGCGAGCAATAAACAGTTTTTTAAGTGAAAGTTTCTAACGATTCCACTTTGATTCCCATCCAAAATATTTAGAATATGTGGATTTAGCGAGAAACGTCCGAAAATGAGGTTTATTTTAGCGAACGAAAAATGCTTTGTTAATATGAATTTTCCTTACCTGGAAAAACAAAAAGAACTCCACCCACTGGTAGTATCGGATTTGTTTGACGGTTTTTTTCCCGGTTGTTTGGATTCCAATGGACGACATGTCGCTTTTGTCGCTTTTTTTAGCTCCGTCCGCGACCGTGAATGTCGAGTGGATCCAACAATAAGTGTTAAGAACGTCTTCAGGAATGTCTCTGAAATTAAAATAACTAGATAACTAGTAGGGAAGTTTATTAGAAAGGGTTTCAATAGATCCACATGCAATATTGGACCAGTATAGTTAGTAGATCAGTTACTATAACTTGTGGTAATAACATCAAGCCCACGTTCCGATCAAATATAGAGTTAAAAATTTGCATGAAAGAGCTCAAACGTTCAACTAGCGATGTTTCTAAATTTAAAAAGTCGCTTTCGTCTCGGATGGGTTTCTGCGTTGTGCTCCTGTTGCGATGCAATTTTTAGAGGTTTTGTCATTTGGCGCTGCACCGAAATTCTCTACATATCGCTACATATTTACTTGCGTTCTAAGTACATACGTTCGAACATGTGTTTTCGAAATCGATTTTTTAATGCATACAAAAATTTCGAAGTGCGTTGAACTGGCTAAAAATACGTGTACGTATACCTAATGTTGTAGGAAGTTGTAGCATTCATTAAATTTTATTATTTTCTAAATCCTGGGCTAAATAGAGTTACTTAATCCGATTATTTTGTGATACTGGAAGTATTTTTGTGTAAGGCGAGGGCAAACTATAAATTTTAAATAATATTCCGAGATATTCTGAGTATTTTATAGATGAATTTATTTCGTCAATCTGTTCTAGAGAAGGAAACAAAATTCAAAAGGTGTTGTGATAGAAGAACCACTCTAATTTTGAACAGAGTTAGTTTCTAAATTGTGAATTACTCTTTTAATTTTAATTGAATTAATTTTAAATTAATTCTTTTTTCTGCCAATAAATGAGTATGCAGCACAATTAGCTGTATTGTACAGAAACTGTAATCTGTGTTGCCTAACTTTAGTAAGCCAATATTTTAGTAAGTTAAAATTTTTACTAAACACACAGAATATCTTACTACGGAGTTAGATAGATATAGTTAGATAGATGTAGTTAGATATTCTCTGCTGAACACGATTTTACCATTCATTAAAAATGCATAAAGGTAAGTGCAAATTTGTTTGCAATTTGCATACGAATTTGAACTTGTATAAATTATCTAGGGGATTCCCGTAGTAGGTATACGGACAAATTTTCAAATATATTTGAAAATTACAACTTACCTCGCATGTATGCAATCGATTGGATGACCAACGTATTGTCTTGTAGTAACAGCTAAGGAAAACGTAATCAACAGTAATACAGTTGCATTGGTGTTTAAACGAAAAACAGGAGAATCTATTGTATACCCATTTATCTGAAAAATTAGTTTTTAAACTCCACAAATAGAACAATGTAAAACAATAAAGAAAATGTTGGTATCTAATTGTATTTCTTAACAGCGGAATACCTAAATCGACTACATTTTAGGTCATTGCAATTTTCTTGTTATTTATTGATAAAATGACCAAAAACATTAATTCCATAAATACAATACTTCTTATAAATTAGCTTTTTTAATTTGCACTTTTACCGTTTGTGTGAAATGGTAAACTCCTCTAAGTATATCCCTGGGGAAAGTCATATTGGTTTTCTCCCTTCTTGGATGGAAGCCCGCATCTAAGAAACTGCTCGATTTACTTTTTGGGACGTTTGGAGCCTTCAAACTGGGGTAGAATATATTTCGTTCCTGATGCGAGTTCTTTTTCGGGAATGTTGCATATTGTATCTTTTTATACTCTGCTGTAGGCTTTGTGTTAGGCATTTGCTGGAAAATAATCACAGTTTATAAAGCATTAATGAATCTAGACTTGTAGATTCCTCGATAATCTAGTCCCAAATTTGGGGCCTGTTATTGGAAAATCCATCAAATCCTTTAACCCTAGTTATTTAAGGATAATTTTCTGGTTCTCAAGAAAAGTCATTTTAAATAAGTAAATTAGTAAATGAATAGATTTTCGACGGAAATAAGCTTTAAAATGAATACATGTTTATGAATAAATGAATAAGCTTAAACTAAATATTTAAGAGTGTTAATATTTTTATTGCAGCTACTTGAACATATTTAAATTACGGTCAATGGACAGAAATGAAAAATTGTAAACCATTTTCTTTGAAAACTATTTCAAAACTCGAAATAAATAAAGCCATCAAAATTCCCAAAATCACTTTATTATAAGAAAACCAACAGAAACACGCGATCCGGTTTCCAATACTTAACTTTCGTCATTGGCTTTATTTATTAAGTATCGCTTTGAAAATAGTAAATAATAATTCAGAGGAGATTTGAGATTTTTCCGAATTGTTTAGCTAAGAGCTGTAAAACTGTCTGCTTAACGTTCATTTTGCTTCCGAGGATTACTTTTCGGTTTTCAACACTTCTTGTGATTATTTGTTCTGAAACCGTTAAAAGTGCCAATAAAAATCTAAATTTAGGAAAATTATTCGACCCGCACTCTCATTATCCATGATTTCTATAAATTCTTAATTAATCAGCCCAGGCAATAATGAGCAATCCATTAACACACAAATCTACCAAAATTGAATTATTTGCTATAATGATCTCTTGACCTCTCTTCATGTAAAACATTGTTTAAAAATATTGAAAAACCATCTAAAAAGAAACGATTGAGTTAATATTTCTAAAATTCCCATCGACAGACGAATCCCAAAATAAAAATATAAATTTTTCGGTTTAACAACAATGTCATAATAAAATTTTATTTGCGAGTCAAATGCCAAGTTTTCGTATAAAAATACGACACACAATTCGATACATATGGGTTAGCAATCTAAACAACAAATAGACTTTTTTATTTTCGTCTAGTTAACATCATAAACGTTTTGAAATCTCGAAGAAATCGAGTCCAAAAATAATATTAGCACTGAAGGTGCTGGTAAACGTTTTTTCAACCTTAAATTCAATCCATCATTAACGAGTAACTCGTATTTAAAATAAATACATTGTTTATAGGCACTTGTATATTCTTTCAGCGCTGGCTTGTATTATTGTATGAACTGTAATTATTGGTATAACACAGTGAAATTAGCCATAAAATTGGTAAAAACCAAAATTTTTTAATACAATCTTCGTAATCCAGGTTGCAGAAGAGATAGCTAAAGCTTCAGAAACCATACAATAGATATGTTTATAATTTTATTGAAAGTATAACATAAACATTATAGCATAGTGGAAATTTATTCGGAAAATTTTTGACATGTTTAGGGAAGTGTACATAAACAAAACTGGATTATGATAAAAACTTATCAAAATAAACAGATATCCTGCAGGAGTATAAGCAGGTGAGTAGAAATTGCTTCTGGATAATTATTTTTAAATGTACCTAATGTGTTGTTTGGAAAATGTGTAATTTCTTAATTTTTAAGTCAAATATAAATACTCAATAAAGAATTGCAATAAAATTGTAGGTTTACTCTTCGATTGTTGATTTTTAAGATTTTTTGAGCATTTTTAAGTAATTGTTTTTTATTATTTCAGTAATTTTTTAAACTTTTTTTAGTGACTTTTGAAATGTCTTTCGTTATTTTGATTGTTGCAGAAGTTTTTTAAAGGATTGATTAATTTTTAAAGTTTTTTTTTTTACATATTTTAAGGATATAAACCAGCATTAATGTTAATTGCATGTATCATTTAATTCATAATTAGTAATTCGTTTACTTACATTTACGGATATTTAGAGAAAGGTGATGATCAAAATGTAGTTTATGGAGCAAATTGTTAATTGTTTACGAAGAGCTTTTTTTAGACAGGTCGACTTATCTCTAAATTAAACTTCTTTGAAGTAATTATAGGTATGAAATTTACTACCAATATTTACACATCACTTTTGATTTTTGGAAGTTCATTCTTAAATAAAAGTAGTAATAATTTTTAATCGAGTTATTTTTAGCGTAATCTTCCTTTCTTCTAAATCTTTATCCCCTACTCAAAACACGAAGCATATATTTATAATCTCACCGTTTAAAAGTGTTACCAAAACATCCTAGCAGTCATAGACCAAACAGTCGAACTTTTCCATTAAATTCACCGGTTTTTCCCGACCAACACTGCCGTTTGAACTACTTTAAACTTATCAATCATCAATTATTAGTCAACTCGCCCGTTTCTCATTTCAGCGAACTCCCGAATGCTGCCTGTTGATTTCTAAATTCTAAAACTACGCCAAACAGAACAGATCCGATCAGGAGGCATGGGATAATGTTTAAAAAAATCCCTGTTTCTGAAATCCCGCGTTCACCTAGACTTGCGGCTGAGCTTGGTTGACGGACTAAAACGCTTATTTTTATATTTACTACTAAATAACTTTAAAATGTAACCCGGACAGTGCAGGTCTGAGATTTTTTGTTGAAAAAACAAAGTGTAGTTCCTAGAGGTATAACTGGAGGCGTAAGAGTACAATGCGCAAAGATTTGTACCAATTACACATCATTTGAAGGTCGCGCACGTTACGTCTCCAATTATGCTTATCGAATTGTACCTATCTAAAGAACGCATTTGGGGCTCTTAATATGAAATATTATTTTTTCTTATTGATTAAATATGTGCAATATTAATAATTATAAACCTAAAGAAATGATATATAATGTTGCCAAATTATAAAAGTGTTGAAACCGTTACTGTATTTTAAAATTTGGACTTAAATTTCAAACAAAAAGCCATTCATAAAGTTTTCATTGAATTTATACAAAAATGTTATACACAAATACATATTATTTACAAGGATGTACTAATGGTGTTAATGGAGACTATAAAGAAGTAAGTAAAACAATTTATACATTTGTAATACAATTTTAGTTACAATTAGTTAAATATTTAACTAATTATTAAGAGCGGAAAAATTATAGTTCTTTTTAAAGGGTGTTCCGTTTAAATAATAATACAACAATAAATTGAATCACTTCTAATTTTTCTCCAATAATAATTTTTAGACTTTTTGTTATTCTTTCTTACTGAGACATACTTTATACAAAAAAACCAGTGTTAAACAATTTTTACGCAATATGCTCTAATGGGTACAACAAAAACAACTTCCATTTTAGAATAATAGAAAAGAAAAAAAGGGTGATATAGAAGGATTGCAACTTTGTCATTATGACCACTATAATTTTAATAATCTTTCTTTGTGCAACTCTTAGAATTGTCCAGATTACAAACAAATTTGCACCAATCCATATAGTATTATCTAAAAATATGTGTGTTTTATGATAGTAAAGTCTATACATTCCGTTGAAAGCTGTGCTTATGGGTTGTGCTTGAGCCAGGCCTGCTGCGAATCCATCCATTAAAAAAGAGTAATAACAATATTAGAAATGTCGAAATTCCATATTAAATATGACACGGTTAATATAAAATATGAATGGCAACAACATAAATTCGCTCTGTAAAAATAAACTGGTTGTGCGGGACCATTAGTTTTCCGCACAGGAAAACGTCTATCAGCGCATTAAGCTCATTTTCGATCGAATGTTTCCCATGGAAATTGTTTTATTCCAACATAAAGTAGTCAACTTTGAGAGTCAGTAACAGATAAGTAAGTTTAGTTCAATACTAAGCACGCGAAAATTTAAATATCGACGAGTTAATTTGACTATTTTTTTAACCCGATTTTTTTATATAGGTATCTAAGTTTTTTTAACTCATTTTGATTTACGTTTATGCCCTCGTAAAATCCTCAAATTGGACTATAAAATGAAAAATTAGAGAATGTGTAGTACACGAAATGTTAAAAACGTAACAGAAGTAATAAATTCTTGGTTAAATGATCGGAATAATTAGAATAGTGTTCTAGCTGTCACAATTTAAATCTAATTTACTACATAAATCTGGATTCTATTCTCGTTTTGATAGCTATAAATATATTTTGCGTACTTTCATTGTCTCTGATGCGTGCGTTCTAAATACAACAAGTCTCGGTTTTCGAGACAACTTTTCACTTTTATTTTCTCTATTCAAATTTTTATTTACCAATTTTTCTTTGTCGTTTTACTCTAGAAAAGTCTAAAAAAAAAATCAAAAGCTAGGTTAAACAACATATTTAGGGCTCCTGTTCTGTGTCGGTTCTCATGCGGGATGTAAAAGAGGGCAATAAATAATCTTAAAAAATATATTTATTCTTCTTTTTCGAATGATTATTGTAAAAATTACAAACCTAAATCTAAATATTGTAAAATTCTTACAAATACTAGTTACTTACATAATTAAGAAATCGTGTAAACAGATAGGTACATTGTACAAAATCATTGTAAATACCTCGAAAATTCAATCACGGGTTTTATTCGTACAAATTAGCTTATTATTATAGTAGGAATAACCGTAGTAATTGATTGTAATTGATATTCCTTAAAGCTTCATCACAGTATAATAAGATTTATTTTCTGAAGGACCATTGAGTTGAGAATAAAACAATACACTAGCAAATTTAATAACGCAATTTTAAATGTACCCAAATGAAAAATTATAAGCCCTCCTTTATAATTACAATGCTGAATTTTCTACAGAAATTACTTGTATAAATCAAGAAAAAATGAGTATATCGAATCTAATTTCTAAAATAAAAAAAATAACCAATATCACTAAATTAGTTGAAAAAAATCGCAAAAAACGGAATGTAAAAAACAAAAAATTGCAAATTACTTTTCTTGCAACTTCAAAAACTAATTTTATCTCTTCTTTGCTTATTTTTTATTCGGAATACATCATAATTTTACAAACAAAAATTAAATTTTACACCTCTACAATCGACAATACACATATGCTCGAGTCCATATCACAATTTTATATCGGGAATAAATTATAACTGAGATTCTGAACTGTGTTCTAGCCACATCCACAGGGATTTGTATTATTTTCGTATTTATTACACACGTTTGCGGTTTGTTATATTCAAATAGGTACCCAGAATCTAAGCAAACGTACCTAAATATAATTAATACGTAATTTTGACGTACGTTATTATCAGCCAACTAAGAGGCAAACTTAAATGTCACTAATTAATATTTATGACATTTGATGTACGTCAAAATTGCGTAAAACGCGCTATTAACGGATATTAACACAAAATCTACTAAACGATAATTTTTAACAACATCCAAAACGGTTTAAATTCTCTCGAGTTCCTCGTTTCTACAAGAGAGTTACAAAAACATTGTTAACTAAAAAATCTCTATCAAAATTCGTGTATAAATTTAGTCTTTTTCGTGGGAATGTAATCGTAACATCACATGGCATTAAAAGTATTCGTTTTGTTCATTTTATAGTATAAATCGTTCATTAAACGAAGATTTTTGTACATTGGTTTCGCATTCATGTTGCTGGAATAGGCGCACAGAAAAAAAATGTTTGTTTGGTACTTAAAGCAGTTCTTTAAAAAGTTCTATCATAAATAATACAGGGTGAATTTTGTAAATGTGGATAAACAATCTTATAGGTGGTAATTTCATGTCTATTTGCAAATATTTTGAGTTCCCATTTTTTTATCTCCTATCCTGACTATAAACGTTTTAAATAGATGGATAAACTCTGGAAATATAATGCTAAAATGGGTTCCTCCAGTGCTCAAAATACTTACAAATAGCACCTCTACTACACGATTTTATACCAACATTACAGAAAAAAACCATCTGTATAAATTAACGAAGATTGTTAATGAGCAATTAAAAAAGGAACTAATTCTGTTCATTCGCACGCGCCTACGAACCATCCATTTTCATAAATGAACACATTTAGTTTTCCGCGCATTTTCGGTTCAACAAAACAACGCAATCGTCTCCTTCGTTATCGCATTTCTCGAATTTCTTTTTACAACAAACCGACCAGATTTTCAGTATTTGTCAATGGCCGCCCGCGCCCGCCTCCACCGGTATCTTCTTCACCAGCTCCGAGATGATCTCCCTGTAAATGATGTGGTCCATGTTGGTGCCGAGCATGAGCAGGATCCACCAATCGCCCACGTCCACCTTGGAGCACAGGCTCCTGCACACCTCGATCGGGATGCTGCGGTTCTTCGCGTGCATGATCCGCGCCCGGATTTTCGGATACGCGATTATCACGATCCTGTACAGCACCAAAACGGTGAGCAACGTCGCCAGTATCATGAACCAAAACCAGATGAATATGTACGTCTTCTCGTTGACGATGTTCAACGGCAGGATGCACAGGCTGTCGTGCTTCTGTATCGATCCGGACGCACCGTATTTGTGGAAGATGCACTTGGTCACCCTCGGGAAAATGTACACCATCGGGTCGATTCTGTCCTCTTGCGCCTGATCGGAGAACTTCATCACCCTCCAGCCGTACGACAGGAACTCACCGTCGAAGAATTTGTTCATCAGGTACAGCTGCACTATGATGTTGATCAGGCACAGGCATTCGCAGCCGAAGTAGCGAAGGGCGTACAAATTGTGCCTCTGTAAGGAAGAAAAATTGTTACTAAAGTTAGAAGAAAATTTCACATCGTTACCAATATCTCCAAAAATACTGTTTTTGGAGAGTTTTGAAGAGTATAGAAGAGAATAGAAGGGTATAGAAGATTATAAAAGAGTGTAGAAGAGTGTAGAAGAGTGTAGAAGAGTGTAGAAGAGTGTAGAAGAGTGTAGAAGAGTGTAGAAGAATGTAGAAGAGTGTAGAAGAGTGTAGAAGAGTGTAGAAGAGTGTAAAAGAGTGTAGAATAGTGTAGAAGAATGTAGAAGAATGTAGAAGAATGTAGAAGAATGTAGAAGAGTGTAGAAGAGTGTAGAAGAGTGTAGAAGGATGTAAAAGAGTATAGAGGAGTATAGAAGATGAGTCTAGAAGTGTGTAGAAGAGTATAGAAAAGTGTAGAAGGATGTAGAAGATTATAGAAGAGAGTAAAAGGTTGTAGAAGATTATAGAAGAGTGTAGAGGGATGTAGAAGATTATAGAAGAGTGTAGAAGGATTTAGAAGAATATAGAAGGGTATAAAAGAGTATAGAAGGGTGGTGTGTGGATGAGTATAGGGTTTTTTTTAAATGGATCGAGTCGATTTTTTAAAGGCTTATCGGTGAATCGCGGGCGCTTAAACCTGACCTGTGTATAAATGAAAACTGTAGGTGAAACGAGTACAAGTCTGAAAAAGGAGTCATTGTCCTTCGGCCACGAATTCTTCACCGGCCACAAGGCGAACGGTTCTTCAAATTTCGACCGGGTGCTGCTGATGTGACCTTTTTTTTAACTCGGGCAATGCGACAAGATTACAGCTACAGGGACGGTCTCAAACACGAGCTATTTGAATACATTGAAAACTGGTTGTGTACTTGAAAGTGTTTGGGTGGTTAAATTTTGTGTTGATTTCTTTTTTAAGCTTGAGGAAGTCGTAGTAATAATCGATTGTGTACATGAATAAGTTTACAATATTTTTTAAGGAACCTCTGTGAGTGCAATCTCATAAAACAGGCACACAATCGTAAAAACGCCTTTATCGCTTCCTCAATTTAGTTATTGCAATATGTATTTAAATTACCGGCTGTATGGGACTGTTTAATCGAAAAATATTGTATTTACTTCCACCTTATACGACTCTTTAAATGTTTAGTTATGAAATGTTTATTTAACTGCATGATGAATTGGGAACATAAATTTAAGAAAATGCACAGTAATAACCAATAACTGACTGGATATTAAAGGTTTGCTGCAAAAGAGACTCATTACCAGATTATTAGAGACAATTAACTTGTATCAAACGATTAGAATTGATCAATTAGCTGTACTTAGCTACAGTTCGATTAGAATCGCTGAAGATGCACAAGGGCAAAAGTGTTTATAAAATTAATAATAACTTTATAAAAAAATTATATTATATTTGTTATTCCTGTGGAAGTGTAATTTGTTTAGGCACTTAGACATTGTTTAAAAAATAAACTTTCGAGTGTTTGGTTAAGTCAAGCTAAAATAACACACGTGTTTCTTTAGTAAATCTGTACAGGATTTTACGAACAATGCGATATTAACATTCAAGTGGGACAATTTTTAGATTTATTAAACAAGCGAAGGCCTTTCCAGTCACCTGAACCTGAAAATTCGCATTGTTCCATTGTTTCCAAGAAAGCGCGATATACTCAAAGATTCCGTCGGCAATTCTCATTAATATTGATTCATGAATGCAAGTTTCCATTTAAAACCTCAAAGCATTCGATATTGACTTTATGGGAATAAATCGGTTTTTTTCATAGAAATGATCGTGTTAGTTTACAATCGAGGCGAGCATATGTTGCACTGTTACGAAAGTTTAGTTTAACTAGTTTTTTAACATCTTTTTTGCCGCTTGTGTGATCTTTTTTAAAGAGATCCTTGGCATTCAATATTATGTCAATGGGTGGAGGACACTTGGTCGCCGCGGTTAATTTTACCCAAATTTAATCCTTTCTCGATTCGAAAGGTACAGGTCACTTGGTCGCCAATACTGGATTAACGGTTTCTAGGAAGGACTGATAGGGATATCTACATTTTTAAAATTCTCTGGTAAAGTTAGTATTTGAATTTCGTCGTACAAATTAATAAGGATGTTTATGTTAACCATTCGCATATTATTTTATTTTCTTGCGAATCAAATTTGACATATTTGTGCTCTCGTGACACAATTTATTGCGACGGCACATTTGATTATTGTCCCTTATTTTTTGTGCAATTTTTTACTATACACGCTATTGACAATGGCCATTAGCATATTTTCTCCTACAAAACTGCATTTAAAATATTAAAGGAGTATTGCTGTAACAATTTAAATTTAATTTGGAATCCATCAAAAGTAGTTTGTGGTTTTGAAAAAGCCCTACACTGGCATAAGGCAAATTTGGCCCGACATTTTAGTTATCGGATGCCGATTTCATTTAAAACAGTCATGGTTTCGAAAAATTCAAATTACACCATACAAATTCATTACATATTCGGCTTTTTATTTTTAGAGAGTAATGAAGTTGCAGATTGCTTTAGCCTAAATTTAATTCCTATAATGCCAACCGATGAACGGTTACTTTCATATACTCTTTATATGATTAATACATAATATACTAACGACTCTTCTGACTTCCCGCCTTCAATGTGTTGACTAGACACAGTGTATACATTTTTTAATACTAATACTTATTAAATATATTTTAACATTTAAAACTGCATTTTGTTCATATTCTCTGAAGATCTCAGCCAAAATTATAGATGATTATAAAATGTACAATCTTGTCTAATCCGATAAAAATTATTTTTAATAAGATTTGACCGCGGCGACCAAGTGACCCATTAAATTTTAAAACTGGCGACTAAGTGACCGGTAGGATTATGGAACCCCGCAGACAAAATTGACCGCGGCGACCAAGTGACCAACACCGATGTCAATATGTTCAATAGTGTCCGAGTCTATGAGCAACAAAAGAGGCTTTAAATTATTCCATTTTTACATGAAATTCAAAACACTAACTTTTCAATACAACGATTATTCATTACAGTTATTGTCTACAGGTACTCGACAATTGCCACAAATGGTTTTTTAGCTAAATTATTCAAACTTGTATCAATTTGTTTTCGCATTCGACAATGGCCAGAGCGATAATAATGCGTGGATATTCGCACGTGAGACGTTAACAATAAGGAGTGATGTCACAGCAGTTTCGAATTAATTTTCATACGTGTAAAACATGCCCGATCGGCTGGAATTTATTAGAATCCGATGTCAAATAGAGCCATTAAACTTATATGAAACGTGCAGCAATTTCTAGTAAATTGGATAACCTGAGATGAATCGGCAAATAAATTTACTTTCAGACAATTAGTGAACTGGCCTCGTTTTAGATTTGACAATCTTTTTATGAATTAAAATATTTAATACACGGGATTGCCTAATAAAAAAGTGTCTCATAAGTGCTGAATAATGATTATTGTAAAATTGTGTATTGTTAATGGGGTGACTTGCATACTTAGTTTTAAAAATAGGCACCTGAAGATTTTTTACACGTATATAATTCAATTATTTTTTTCTTAATGAGACCATTTCAAAATACTCTGTAATATATTCACACTATTCTAATTCTAGGAAGCTGTTTATGAATTTTAATTGGGTATTTCATAAGTTTCCCAAGAACAATATTCTCTTATTCCATTTACCAGTGCAATTAATAAACCATTGATTTCAATGATCAAATATTATTTAATTAGAATAGAGAATCTACTATGCATATAATGATTAATTGTTCAGTAATAGTCATACATTAGGAATTTTAATTGTAATGAATATACATTTACTCTGAAAGATAACGTTAATATACCGAAACTGGCGATTTATTTTTATTACAATTAATAATGCATAAATATTCGCGATATCACAAAAGAATTTGGTTAATATGAATAAAGAAGTGACTTAATTGAATGACTAAGAGTACACAATCACGCAAAAGCTTTGACCAGATTTCTTGTTGATTCATTAACATCGAATCGAATTAATCAATTCAAGTGGGTCTAATAACACCATTAATAGTAGATAAAATTGCAGCATTCGATTAGGATTTTGCCATAAATGCGCCCCGGTTTCCCCTACATGGTTAACTCCGTAATTAAAAATACAGGCTATCTTGCACACGACAATTAACGACTCCATTCTAAGGTAAATTTAGCAAATTACAATACTTACTTTTAAATGGTCCATTAGATATCCTAATACGATTTCTTTTTTCTGGTTTTTCTCTTTCTCTCGACCGACTCCTATGTTTAATCCCATCACCAAAGTCCTCATTAGGTTGTTTTCTGATACCTCCCATAGCACCTTGGGAGTGTAACAAGCCACAGCCTAAAAATGCATTCCATTAGATTTGCTTTAAAGTTATCTAATCTAAGTAGCAGGTAAAGTGCATTAGGTAAAGTACATAGATATATTCTAGTTCATAGAATAATGGCGTACTAATTATTTGAAATGCAACCAAGGGGAGAGATACTGAAGTGCCGGTTTCACCTGATGTGCATTATTATCCTTTTCAATGAGTGTTTTGGTTATTTTTTATGGTAATTGTGACAGAAAAAAACGAAAAAAAAATTTAATTGAGGCAAACAATACAAAGAGTTTCCGTTTCGAATGAACAATAAATCGACGAAATTTCGATTTTTGCTGTGCAACAAATAGTTTAAAAAAAGGTAAAAAAACGTAATCAGGCGAACGACACGATACAAACGAGGCGTGAAATCGGAATTTTGCGGTGAAACGCAGCTTTACCCTTTTCGTATTATTTCGAATAGAAATTGGGGAAATCGGATTCACGCAATTTGTGATAATTGTGATAGAAAGGCGACAACTGTTGACGGTATTGTTTCATTTCGATCATCGATGAAAAAATGGAGTATAAATAAAATTTGCGGTTGATGAAGCATGACTATTTTAGTCATTGAACTATGAATGCAAATTTATTAGAGTATCTTCTGGGTTATTGACATGAAATATCTATTTTAGATAAGGTGGTAATTTCGATCGAAAATTTTTGGTTTTTTGCAATAATTGAATTAAATTCTTGCATAAAATATTTCAATAAAGTGGTGAAACACTCCAATTTCAATTATATGTACAATTTTATTCTCTCTGGATCTCTCTTTGTTTCAATTATTACCTATAAAAGTGTAAACCAATAAGTTCTTTACCAGATATTGTCCCAAAAATAAGAAACTGATTGCTTTATGGAACTCGCTTTCTAATGAATAACACCAGAAACAGATCATAATTCCCATTAAAATATACCCTATTAATCTTGTTTATTAACAAATTTGTTATTGTTTAAGTATACACACCTGGAAAAACAGCACAAAACAAACCCACTGGTAGTAAGTATAGTATTTTTGGGCTCCATCTTGACTAAAATCATTGGCTATACCGGGATGAGCTACCTCTGTACCAACCTGAAAAACAAAAACTTTACATTATAACCCCTATATGACCTAAATGTAGGTATTATTTATTTATACAAGTGCAAAATTGTTGGCAATATGGACAATTCTATGAGTTGAACAAAGAAATAGTATTAAAATAACAATGATTAGGGTGAAAAAATTGCATTTCCCCAATATCACTCTTCGTTTTCCTTTATATGGAACTATTAGAAGTTGTCTTTATTGAACCCATACAACATATTGCGTATAAATTTGCACTGATCTGTATAGTGTCTAAACACTTTCGCTTTTTCGCAGAAATTTAATAAAACAATAGCTAATTGTCGCACCATACAATTCCGCTTTACAATTTCAAAAAAACCTCGCTTCTAAACTAATCTGATAAACATTTATACATTCAAACTAACTATTTTGCATGAATAAACGGTCGATATCAAGGTTTTTTTCGATGAATTCGTGTACTTCAAACTTACATGATGGTAGTCGCGTCATCGGTACGCATGCATGTAAATCGTACCGGTTGACTGAATTCGAAATAAGGAGAAAAAATAGGCGACTAACTACATATTAATTTTGGGACATCCGTTATACAATTTGTTGATTTGAATGAGTCCGGCTCGTGGTAATGTTCGTATAGTTACTCGTGCGTTGACATGCAGTTCTGTGTAATTAACCAATTCGAAATAATGGGATGGATCGTAAGGAGGGCAACATGGTGATACAAGGATACTATGTTACTAGCGTGTGTGCGTGTTAAATTTTGTTTTTTTTTTGTCTCTTCACAAATAATTGATGACATAAAATGGACTTGTTCCTAATAGAATTTGGTTGGTCCATTTAAGTTAATTTATAGAGGCGAATGTGCTGGAAATTTAAAGAGTTAAAGTACTAGAAATTGGGAAATATTTTTACCTTGCATTATTCATCATATTTGTTCTGATACTTCAATTCTTCGACTTGGAAGAATCGTTTGTAGAAAGATTTAATTAAAAAAATTAGAAGTTATTGCAATATAGGAAGATTAAATCAGGCTAAAGTCAAGTTTCCAGGAATTTGCAGGAATTTGTAATGAAATCATTAACTTGATAACGTGAATATTTGCTGATACAACTAGATAAATTCATAACGGATTTTTAAGGAAATATCCCAACACCTCCCGGCAAGTCCGCCCCTGTCCCTATGTGCATAAATTGCGAATCAATCGGTATGGGCGCAATTTCAATAATTCTACTATTTGAATTATTTTAAACTCAATAATTATCATTCTCAAAAAGAAAACAAAACTTGAAAATATTCCAAATATTTCTGTGTAAATATAGAACAATGTTAAATTGAACAGGATCAATAGAATAGCGAAATATAAGATAAAAAGTAAGAGGAACATTAAATTGAATACTAGGAAGCCTAAACTTGTGAATAATAATATAACAAACGCAGAAGGGATCATAGAGAAGAACAAATTTGCCAATCCATTGCTTCTGTAAAAACCAGTGATTGAATACTGACCTGTCTCTGGAAGGCATCGGGCATAGTAAAAGTACTGGAAATCCAACAGTACGTGTTAACAACATTATTTGGCAATCCATCGACGATACATTGTATGGGATTCCCTACGAATTGATTTGCGGTGATAATTAAGCTACAGGCGCTCAATAGAGCGCAAGTGAACACGTTGTGCATGCGAAATATCGCACAATCAACCACTATTTCTCGGTATTTGAAGTAATTGGCTAATCCTCCTAAAAGCTTGTACATCTTTAGGCAGTTTTCTTATCTCTTTCGCTATCTAAAAAAAATAAACTGAATTAATATCGACATTAGCGCAATATTGTTGGTGTAATTTAGGAATATTACTGTATATAATAAGGAAATAAACAAACTGGCCGATAATGATTCAAAACAATAATATTTTTTTTACTTAACAAAAAATATTGGGCGATTTTTTAAGTACGTAATAAAGCTAATAGGTTTATTTTGACAATTACTTTTATTTAATAGAAGGTAAACTTCAAGGATTATTTGATAAAGGATCTACACAATAGAAGAGTAAATACCCAAAATGAGATTATTTTGAAAGAAGACTATGTTGAATGTTGAAGTATTCGAAATGAGGTTTTAATTTTTCAAGGCCGGCCCTGCGCTACCACCTCCAATCAATGCAAAAGGCGGAATATTATGAACTTTACATTCAAATAAACTGACTACAAGGATACCAACATCAAAATAGTAAGTACACAAAACAAATAAGTAAAAATGAAGATACAATGAGCACAAATAACTAATCACCTGGAAGCAATGCCTGGAAATCGTCGAATAAAACGAGGCGAGCAGGACTCAGGACACTTTCCTAGCACATTTTTCGACTGTGTGACGAAGTCAGATCGACGCGCACCGTCATATTTCAGTCACAAATTGCATTTTGTAGAGAAAATTTGTTGTTATACGATGATTTCACAATGTAGTTTCAGTTGCTACTGACTGTTCCCCTCGAGTATAGGTTTGTGGCCTCCCCACTTTCAATTTACAGCCGCCCAGCGGAATACTGGTGCAGACCCAGACGCCGTGCTCGTGCTGGAAGCGGCGGAGCGCTAGTCGATCGACGGATTGTTCTTTCCTTCGGGGTATCTTTACGGATTTTTCGAGATTTTTGGGTTGGTCGGTTCGGTGCCATCCGGATTAAGCGAGTGGTCACCAGGTGGTTTTCTTCGAAAATCGACCAGCGGCTGTTACTGGTAATTCCGTTGCTAGATTACGAAATGAACCGTTTTTGTTGCTGGTTTAAAAGATAATGAGGATGAGATTCTTTAGTAATTATTGGAGAGCAAGTGCTGCGAGTATAATTAATGTAGCAGTGCTGGGATCTTCCTGAAACTTCTTGCATTTACTTCATTATTTTTTATTAATATGTATAGCAAGTTTCATAACTATCTTCCAATTCTAGAAAAGTTAGATAATATTCAAATTTTGTGGGGGCGGTAGGAAGGTTTGAAATTTTTTGTGCTATTATAATGCAATAACTTTTCTTTAAAATTTTTGGACACATACATCTACGTCAAGATTAAAGATACTTTCTAATCCAGCACAGAATTAATTAACTCTTAAATTAAGCAATCTACTGAGGTCAACCCACCTTTTATTTTATTTCGTGCTATAACTCGCATATCCATCAAAAAAGCCTATGGTTTTTAATTTTAATTTTAATTTTTTTAAATTTTAATTACATTATGAATCCCCTCTGCAGCTCTAGTAGGTAATTCCATCCTTTGAACCAATCTCATCTCCATTTTCAAAACAAGCTGTTAGCCATAATTTGCAAAATTTATTATTGTTTTTACAACTTTTAAATGTTACTTTTGCATTCGTTATGGGTGTTTAGTCTTCAGGCCTCATTTCTATGATGAATATATTTATTTCGTGCATCCCACATTCAAATTATTTGCAATATATTTATTAATTATATAGATACATACAAAATTCACAGGTATTTCATGAAATCATTATCCAAGCATCCAAACCATAATTACAGATTTTATTACTGTTTATGCGCCTTAATTATACTTATTGCATAATCCAACACATAAAAAGTTTTTCGAAAATAATTGCAATTATCTTGAGGACATAAAAATAACGTCAACAGAGTACGCATCATTTTAATGGATATGTATATGCGCCTCTAATAAAAATATAAATGCCCATATATTCCTTATCTAACGAAAACAGCGTAATTTTAAATGATTTAAAATGAATTATCAAATACTTTTGCTTATATGTCTCTGACCCGGTTGGCTGAATGTGACCTCATTGAATAAAAAAATTCAATCCAGTGCATGAGGATAAATTGTTTATTGGTGCTATCACTTTATGTAATAAACAATACCTATTAATCTGAAGGAAAATAATGGATAAGTAATTAAATAAATAAACATTTTTTTAAGAAATTTAGGATAAGGGTATTAATAAAACTAATAAAACCAAAATTGCAATAAAACTAACAATAAGTAAAGAAATCCATAGTTCCAACTTTTATAATTATATGTATCTTAATTACTTATTTTTGGTTTGGAAAAAATATGTAAATACTTACATAAGAAAAAAGATATCTAACATACGAAAAACATTGAATTTTGAATTTAACATGAATCATTTTTTGCATTTCTTCGAAATTATTCATTCCTAGAATGATAATTAACGAATAAACTTTGGTCATTCGCTCGGCGATTTCCTGGAAAATTAATTACAATATTTTATTGATTCATAATCATTTTTACCGCATGTCTTGTTCCACGAGTTTCTAAAGCTTCATACGATTAAACTGTTGAATTTCGCAATAATCCGTGCAATTCAATTAGCATTACCACTTTGCTTCAATATTTATAAGTACTCATACACTGTCTGTCGCCCGTAACTTGTTACATTTTTAATTTATAAGCTAAAGCAGGCCAACTTGCAGACCTTAAAACGGCCATAACCCAGTAATACACTCTCGATTGACATTGCGCAATTTTTCAACAATATCTGCCTTCTTGCAAGTAACTAGCTTTTAGCCTCGCTACTGAAACAATTATTTTCTTCCACGTATTATTATTGCACAACAAGTTTAAATTTGACTTTCGAACTTCAAACTTCAAGCTGGTCCACCATTTGCCCGCAAGGATAATATGTTGCTTACCTCTGAAGAACTAATGAACAGAATTAAGGAGCAAATCAATTGATCATGAGTAGACAATTTAATATCTAGCAAATTAGATAAGGACCCAAATTCTTAGGAAATTTGGATTTTGCTTTTAAAACAAAATTTCACAATATTGTATTAAACTGTTATTGTTTTTAAGTGTAATTTTCATCATGCTATCCAACCACTATCCACGTTACAAACATAAGTTTATACTACATTCCTACCGATAGCAAAGTAATAATAGTGTAGGCATTTACCGTTCTTTACGTGAAAATTGTATAATGCATAATCGTTATTATGGAACTAAAAAAACTACTACTTCAATGTTTTTAATGCACGCTTAGATTATTTCTATTATTCGTTGATTTGGTCAGGTAACGTTTCACCGAAAACGCGCCGAAAAGTGATGCAAAATAGATTAAAAATTTGAAATGGGTTCACTAAACTCTTTTTATGTGGAAGTAATTTACCTGTTAGTTGCGCAAGATTACTCGTAATTTCGACTAGGTAAGTAAATAAAAAATTGAATACAAGAAAACCTTTCATTGTTAAACATTAGCTGCAATGATTTCAGTTAATTCATTGTATTGTTCGAATAGATTTTGATTCAAAATTTTGCGAAATAATCTATTCCTATACTTTTAAGTTGTTAAAGGTCAGTCTGTTAGTTCTATTTTGGTCTAGGAAGGTATTATATTGTTCTATTTAAATTAGGCATTTTAGACAATTACTGACCTACAACCTATATACAGAAAAAAATACAGTTTGAATACTGTAAAGCTTGTCTGCTACATTTCCTAACCATATAACTTACATAAAAAATGAATCACTAAAGAAAAATGCGCAATACACGGCAGTTTCTGCATGAAATTTCTTATTCAAATGCCGACCTTTCCAATAAAGTTGCTTTGTTGCAAAATGTATTCGAGTTTAACGGCCTCCTCTGTTACAGGATTTATCACCTCCGCGAAAATATTCTCATATTTCTGAGAAAAGACAATTCAAGAAGAAACATGTTCTAACGCGAAAAGAATTCGCAATTGTCGCTCTTACATGATTGCTTTAATGTTTAGTCACAAAAATATTAAATTTATAAAAATTTTGCCACAAATATGGTAGATATTATTGCCTCGTATGATTATAACAGTTAACCCATTAATAAACATGCAAGTTATTTAATTGTCGTAACAGTAATGTATGATCGGAATGAATTCCGATAGGTATCAAATCTGGTGAGAAAGTTTATAAGTATATCTGCTTTTTAATTTATACAGACGTTCTTGTACCAACGGGCATTTATGAATTTAAATAGGATGTAGGTACGCATTTTTCTCCGACTCGAAAGGTAAGTACCGCAACACGGTACTAAATACCAGCAACCACACACCATGGGCCAACGTTGCCAAAAGGAACCAAATTTTCCCCATTTATGCAGCCACCAAATTCTTTAATTTCAAGCTTATAAACCCACAAATCGGCACTATTTTATTGACATAGAAGACATAAAAAGTGTGTAACCAAAAGGAATCAATAATACCTAAATCAAGCTTTCGTATCCAAGCTAAAATACAATGTCAATATTTTTAGAATGTAATTCCTAAACATTAGTTACTAGTTCATAGAGATTGCCATCTTAATCTCTATCTATAAATCATTGATGCCAACTTTGATTTTATATAGTATATTCAAAGTTCCTTTAAAAGCTTGTAGAATTTATGTTATCTTAATCCTTCTCTGAATCCCACTGTTTTGTTTCCTTTAGGATGTGGATTTTTTAAAAGGTCGTAAACTTGGCAGCACCGCTACACACCCATCGCTCCCATGGCTGGGCACCATAGGCACCCATCATTCTTCAACTCTTTCTCGAATTTTCCGTTTCTTTTTACTCCATCCACAAAAGGAAGGCGCATAAAGAATCGAAAACATCCTCATCTTCTCTGTTTAATCATCTCATCTGGTATTCGATTTTTTTCCAGTTCTGCCTCTCTCATAGTAGGTAAGCACTAAAGCGGTCGTCTTTGTGTCTAGAACTTTTTTTAACGCAGTGGCGGACTACTAAAATACTCAGTACTGGAGGTACCACCGTTAATTATAGCTTCTACGAAACGGAAAACGAATGCGGTAGCAATTGAGGTAGTGGATTGAATTTTTTTAGAAAATTCAATTCCGAAAAGCGTTTATCTTTCATTATTGGATAGATTGGTTTTTGTGCTATTGTAAATTGATCTAATAATAGTAGTACCTACGTTTAGTTTGCTTAACAGTTTAAAAGTACGTCATATGATGAAATCTCGAGTCTTTAATTGGTTTTACACCAACAATTTATGCGTACAGAAGAAGGATTTAAAGAAGTTCTACAATACTTAGTTTTGGAGTTTGAATAATCGTAGTAACTTCTTGTTCTTTCTAGTTTTGAGAAGAGTTTTCAACAGGTTTTAAAATTTAGAGTTTTTGCATGAACCTCAATTCAAACTTTCTCTTTTGGTCCATTTACTGGCTTTTTCTTCTATTTAATAATACTCTTTTTAGACAATACGATTGACGAGTTGCCCATGGAGGTATCATAGACTTCTCCCGATGCGTTTAGGATTCTGTTTCTTTAGCATCGGTTAATAATACGTATTTTGGGTTCAAAAATGCAAATGGTCAATTACGCGAAACGCGAAATTGCCGATGATTTTTTGGAAATTATAGCATGTTTGGCCAAATTTGAGGCCGGTGAGGACGTTAAAAAACACGCAAAAACGTCAAAATTGTTATAGTGTGCAATTTTTTCGCGGCCCTTCAGGTGATACGGGT